CATTCCGAGGAGGAACCAGAGCCGGGAGACCTGGGGATGGACTGTCCAATCTCGGGGGCAGAAGTTGCTGAGGTAGTCAAACAACTACACAGCGGCGGAGCCCCGGGGGCGGATGAGATTCGTCCTGGGCATCTCAAGGCTATGGATGTGGTAGGGCTGTCGTGGTTGACACGTCTCTGCAACATTGCGTGGTCATCGGGGGCAGTTCCTGTGGAGTGGCAGACCGGGGTGGTGGTCCCCATCTTTAAGAAGGGTGACCTGAGGGTGTGTTCCAACTATAGGGGGATCATACTCCTCAGCCTCCCTGGAAAGGTCTGCTCCAAGGTACTGGAGAGGAGGGTCCGATCGATAGTTGAATCTCAGATTGAGAAGGAGCAATGTGGTTTTCGTCCTGGCCGTGGAACTGTGGACCAGCTCTATACCCTTGCAAGGGTGATGGAGGGGGCATGGGAGTTTGCCCAACCAATCCACATGTGTTTTGTGGATTTGGAGAAGGCTTATGGCCGTGTCCCCAGGGGCACCCTGTGGGGGACGCTCCAGGAGTATGGGGTGGGTGGCTTTCTGCTAAGGGCCATTCAGTCCCTTTACCAGAGGAGCGTGAGTTTGGTCCGCATAGCCGGTAGTAAGTCGGACCTGTTCCCGGTGAGGGTTGGACTCCGCCAGGGCAGCCCTTTGTCACCGGTTCTGTTCATTACCTTTATGGACAGAATTTCTAGGCGCAGCCGTGGTGTGGAGTGTGTCGAGTTTGGTGGCAGGAGAATCTCGTCTCTGCTTTTTGCGGATGATGTGGTCCTCCTAGCTTCATCCAGCTCTGACCTTCAGCTCTTGCTGGGTAGGTTCGAGGCCGAGTGTGATGCAGCTGGGATGAGGATCAGCACCTCCAAATCTGAGACCATGGTTCTTGACCGGAAAAGGGTGGCTTGCCAACTCCGGGTCGGGGGAGAGAGGTCCTACCTCAAGTGGAGGAGTTTAAGTATCTCGGGGTCTTGTTCACGAGTGAGGGTAGGAGGGATCGGGAGATCGACAGGCGGATTGGTTCGGCGTCTGCAGTGATGCGGACGCTGAGCCAATCTGTTGTGGTGAAGAGGGAGCTGAGCCAGAAAGCCAGGCTCTCGATTTACTGGTCGATCTACGTCCCAATCCTTCCTTCTCCTGAAATTAAAACTTTTCTTTTTTTTCAGTGATTTTGAGCAGCTCTCTCATGCATCTCCTCGAACATCTGGACCAGATTACTACATTTCATACATGTTAAATGTTGGCATTAGAAAGAAGCATACTGTTTGCTTAAAGATGCTACTGTTCAACTCCTGGACCTTAAACATAAACAGAAAAATATCCTGGAATAAAAGCGTTTCAGAATCACCTCTAATGTCATTGTTTGTCAACGAGATCTGAGCAGCTTTTGCTGATCACCCTACACTTATTTTCTACTTCATACTGATTCAATATTTAAAACTTATAAGCTAGATTTGTTAAACTCCTGTTCAGCCTAATAATTTGATCGGGAGCTTTTAGAATAGACCTAACCTCTAAATCACACTCTCCTCTTCATATGTATGTACATATAGATGCATCTATTGGTGGCTACTTCTGTGAGATCAATAAACAATCTAAATGTATTTAATTATTGGTTTTATCCTCAACTTATTGCTCTGAATTAATTAAAATAAATACCTTCTCTTAGTCATGATTTCAGATTCAGTATAAATCTCTGTTAAATGTTGTTTACATACCTGATGTTGACAACGCACCTGAGCACGAGACGTTAGCTCAACACAACACCTATAACAATTTAACAAGTTTGTCGGAATCTTTTCTAATAAAATGTGAGTTGATTGGAGTTTCCTCAGTAGCTTCACCTGTTACCACAAAACCATCAGTAAACACGAATCACCTTCTTCTATCCAGCCTGGTTGGTATCTTTAGCTGCTAAGCTAAAGCTAACCGGATGCTCCGGGTGGATCCGTCTGAGCCAACAAACAAACAACCCGGAAGCAGCCAACATCAGCCGCTACGGTGGTAACGGGTTTGACAAAATGACGAATAAAGTAAAACGCCAACACACATTCTTAAAGATTTGCAGGACTCTGGCAGTAAGGAAGTTAACTAAAGCGATCAGCTGACCACCTTTCACGTGACGACATGAAAAACACAAACTTCCGGTAAAGACTTTCAAATTATAAGTCCGTCACAATGATTTTTTTTTAGAAGAAGCACGAGATCAGACATACAATTAAAATGTAATTTTCATTCTTTTATTCTTTTCTTTTTTTTTTTTGATGCAGAAAACAAAGTTGTTTTCCCTTAAAGTCTAAGCTACATAAATAAATGTATTCCCTTTTTTTCTTATTTGATGACAGAAAAGAAAATAAATGTTATAATTTGTTCAACTTTATGAGCAAGACCATCTGTATTTAACTGCTACACAGCTATTAGAAGCTATGAACAAATAAAATGAAAGCATTCGGAGATCACATTTGTGACCAAATAAAGACGTTTTAACAAAAAGGAAGATATTCACATCTTGTCATCCCAGCATCGCGTATGTCACAAGATTATCGAGTTCAGCCCAGTTTTACCTCTGTGATAACAAAGACAATGTGATCACAATGATAGAGGTACAAACTTCTTCTAGAGGGATGAAGAGTTTGCATGTGTGCTAAGATGTGTGTTGTTGTGCACACAGGTGACAATACTCTGTCTGAAAGGCATTGTTTCAATATTGATGTGTTTAAACTCACTAAAGATGCACTCAACCTGAAGTGTTCATTCATTGTTACTTGGATTTAAAGCTCAGATTTCTGATTTGATCAGCTTGTTCGGGGTGATTGAACAGCAGGCTTTTGTCCTGCTGATGGCTGCTGATGCAGATAAGAGTGTTCTTGGTTTTACAAATGTCATTTGATGAGGCAAATGCAACAGAGCCCTTTTAATCCCACATATCTACAGATTTACAGATAATTTTTTTACAAAACATGTGTTCTTTTGAACCAAATACTGTGTATGTAATTCAATGTTCAGCAGGTAAAATTTGAAAAATGTTTTTTTTTATTACCGTCAATCCTCTAATGTTGGCCTGTATTCAATTAACGGCCGGGTATCATATTTTGGCCGGTGCCGGAGTCGGCGGAGGTGAATAATGGCCGGTATTTTACTGTGGCCGGGTGGAATGTGGTAACAAGCAAGTACGGGGGGCGGTTGTGTCATCCGTCTCACTTTTGATTTGCCAGTGACAGACCGCGATTTGGCAGGTACGGAGACGAAGAGGAGGCGAAAATTTGATATCAAGTTCAAAGAGAACGTGCTAATTATGCTGCAGAACACTGGGGAGTATTAGGGGTTGTATGAACTAGTCGACTTCACTATAGTGACTTTTTATGCCTGTCATCGACTAGTCGCTGTCATGTGATAATGACCGGCAAGATGCAGTCCTCGGAAAAGACAGCAGCCTGCTGTCAGCAGGTGACAAGCTCCTGCGCGTCGGGGGGGCAACGCGCTGTGCCAGAGCGTCGGTACTGACACCCGCCGTAAAACTGACATTTAACCAAATTGTGACGTTTACCCTCTTGCAATTTAACCTTCTCCTCACCCCATCCTAACCTTAACCAGCTTGCACATGCAAAGCTCTGACTGTTGACGCGCTACAGACATCTGCGTCCTGAGCACAGCCACAGTAACATTATCAAATCAGGTGTCGCCACCTCAAAAACTAATTTAACATGCAATCGTTCATGTCGGCTCATTTCCTTTTATGTTTTCTGTCTTTTATTTGCGCCTGATGCGTTTCGCTGCTGTGGAGCGGGGCGCATCACCTTGTCCTCCGGTGACGCACCGATCACTGATGCGGCCGCCAAGCAGCGAGCACTCCGCTGTTTTTGCGGTCGGTAGATCTTTTAGAACTGCAGTTCAAAGGTAACTCATAAGGTGAATATATATGAAGGCAGGTAGCAGTTTCTCTTTAGGATTGAGAGGAGATGCAGGAAGATAATAAACAGGCAGGACAGAAAAATAGTCAAATAAAAACAAGTTAGTTTTTGTACCTGGTGGTTGCAACAAACAGACACCAGTGAAGGTAATCAGAAGTGAGGAACAGAAAATGAAATAATTATTTTAATGTTTAGAGCAGCAGGAACTCCGAGAGGCTGCAGGCGCATCAGTGAGTTTGCGGCTGCTGCGCAGGGGGAGGGGGGAGAGGGCTGAAGCAGAAACTACCGTTGTTAAAAGAAATGTGTTTAACTTTGAAAATGTGGGCGCAATTATAATTGTCAAAGACTCCAGCGAACCATTAGTTCATTTTGCTCAAATAGAAATAGAGGCATGCCTCTAATTCTGGCCCTCCTTCCAATAAAGGCCTGGAGCTTGATGAGCTTGAGTCAAATACAGGCCCGGGCCTGTATTAGAGGATTTACGGTAATTTCCTAAATCATCTTTGAGGTCTGAAAGTACTTTCAACTTGGCATCATTGACATGCATCTCAAGATGTTTGAACACTCCTGGGTTAGAGTATCTAATGAGTTAGAAAAACGTTTTAGATTCATGAACACGTGAAGTTCTAGGAGACAAAATCCTTCTATTGACATTTTCAGAAGTAATCCGTTAGCTGCAGAACGCCCATCCCATTGTTTTATTTTGTTTGTTTTACATAATCCAACCATCTGTGCATCTGCCACTCATTCAGTTTTACAGAATCCTCTTTTTCTGGGGATTTTAAAATTAAAACAGCCACAAGTCGGGTTTTCCTTCACCACTAATTAAATATGTTTGCCGTGCAAATTGACAACCTTTCTTCTGCAGCTGCGGGCAACAAAAGCATCGTGAATGGTCCGTTTCATCCCTTATACAGTCCAATGAACATGAGAACAAAGACGTTTCTTTACATTTGACAGAATAATTGAACAGATCAAACAGCTTATTAATGTGCACTTTTGCATTGCTGTGTTTGTGTAAGCAGCTCTAGAGTTTATACAGATGAACTCAGGTTTAGCTGAAGGCAGACGGCCATGGCAGCTCGAAGGGTTCTGGTGTTTCTCGCTTTCATCTGTAAGTTTTTACTTTAAACTCAACTTTCATCATAAATAATGTGATTTGTTGCTGCAGTGGTTTGTTGTTTCCCAGCTGCTTTTTCCAGCAGTCAGGCTTCAGACTGCTCCTACAACCAACTACTGGACTACCTAAACGTGACCGCATCAGATTCACTTCTGGGAATCTCCCGACCAGTGAAGGACTGGACTAGGACCACACATGTCCAGCTGGAGACATCGCTGTATGGTATTGTAGACGTGGTAGGTGTCCTCTTCACCATCTGTGTGTTATTCTTCACTCATCAATATAAATGTATCAAGTTATTGTTCTAGTTACTCGCTGGCTTTTAGCGGGACTGAATATTTACTTCATTCCAGGATGAGAAGTTTCAAACGGTCACCTGTGACATCTGGGTCAAAATGGTGAGAAAAAAATGAATCATCACGTTGAGTTCAGGCATTTGGTCTCGTCTACGTTTTAAAAGTTTCAGCTCCATTTTGTTTTTAGTTTTGGACAAACGAATTTCTGACCTGGGATCGCTCTGAGTTTTGTGGGATTAACTCGCTGACTCTTCCCAGGTCGTTGATCTGGATCCCTGATATCTCCATCCAGGAGGAGTAAGGGCCATCAAACATGTTTCTAAAAATAACTATGTCGGTTTAAATTGGTACGCCTTGATTCCTCTTTTTCCACACCTTCTTGTAATTTCTGCTCGTTTCAGCGTCTCTGATAGCCAGACCGTTGTGGAGGATGCGTTCGTCACCTTGTATAACCACGGTTTAATCAACGGAAACATGCGGCAGCATCTAACCTTCACCTGCCAGCTTGACATCTTCAGATTCCCCTTCGATGAGCAACAATGCAACGTCACCTTTTTTTCCATGAGCTCTGATGGTAAATTAAACCACACTACTGGGAAGTGGAAAGTGACTGTCCATCTTTGTGTTATGGTCCCAAGAGCCAAAGTCCTACAGTAGTGAGCTGCAGTAGCGGCTGCTCTTGGGAAATATTTGGTGCTTTAACTTCCCCCTCCCCCCCAGTCCAACCCCATACGCCTGGTTCACATCAGATGCGGAAGCGCCACGATGCGCCGCGAAACGCAGTGGAACAAAGAGTGCTTCTGTTCTGAGCCTTTGTTAACCTATGGCAGGGTTGTTCAATTCCAGGCCTCGAGGGCTAGTATCTGTCACGGTGCAGTGTAGATAGTGGTGGACCCACATGTGGTGGAGCTGGACCGGGGGGCAGAAATGCAGCTCAGGTAAAATAAATGGATTTAATGAATAATGGCAGGTAGGATGATACAGCAGGAGCAGCGTAACAGGGGGAAAACACAACAATGATCTGACAAAGGACAAGTGCAAAACAGGGGGTATAAATACACAAGGATAATCAGAAACACATGGGCAGGATAACAAGGGGCAGGTGAGTCCAATAAACAACTAATTAGGGGTAAACGAGACCAAGAGTCAGAGGGGTCGGAGCAGATTCTGACAGTATCCAGCATGTATTAGTGGTTTCGCTGATCCAACCCACTTGATTCAGTGGTTGAATCGCCTGTTCGGCAGCTCATCAGGCTCTGCAGAAGCCTGATGATCTCCTACTAAATGAAATCAGGTGTGCTGAAGCAGGGTTAAAACCAAAATGTGAGGGATACTGGCCCTTGAGGCACAGGATTGAATATCCCTGTACTATGGTCTTGATCACATCAGCTGCGAAGCGCCATGAAGCATGACGAAGTCTCGCGCCTTGCAGCGATTGTTTCGGCGTGTGCTCTATTTTCTTTTTTTGCAAGCCGCATCAATTCTGGCAGGAAGTCAAACCAAAACTGAAGAGGCAGGCTGGTAAATTTAACAAAAATAAAGAAATGTTTCCAAATAAAGTAGCCACGTTTACATGCGCATATTTAATCGGATTGAATGCCCATTCAGATTGAAAATTCTGCATGTAAACATGTCAATCGGAATATTCTGATCCGATTCGGCCGATCTGATTGAAATTTCAATCCGATTGAGAGAGGTGGTTTATTCCGTTCTTCATTCCGATTGACGTGCATGTACACAGCCATTCGGATTGTTGGGGTAAAATAATGCCCACTGCACATGTGTGCAACAGCCAGCGGGCCTCTCCGCTGTCATTTGGACTGCCTGACTTCAAAAATGACGGTGTAATTAACGAGCGGTGGCTTTTAAATCCGACGACAAGCCGTCCCCGTTTCAGTAATATTTAATTCAGAACTTGCATTTTGTGGAAGTAAAATAAAAATCTGATTATTGCACAAATCATTCGACAAACATGTTCAAATCTGTACTGGAAATACGCAGGTTTATCGTGGGGGTTGCAGCGCACGGATCCCCGTTTCTGTCAGCTTTGAACGCAGCAGCTTCTGCAGCAGGTGATAGAGACGCGCTTGTAAAGAAGACAGGATAATCTGGGTTTTACAGACCTGATTGGAGTCTGATGTTGGGTAGGAAAACGTCCTCGGTTGAACACTCTGGACGACAGTAAAGTCCGTGTTAGAAGCACGTAAACGCAGATGACCTGAGATGCGGTTCGTTAATGATGAACACAGGCTTCTAAAACTTTCTGAACATCTTCTGTTATTTTGTTTGAACAAATTTTTCTCAACAGTTTCAGCTGATCGTCACATGTTATTAATAATAAGCCACAACAGAGCTCAGTAATAAAACATGAGGCTAACCCCCAACCCCCCACCCCCGCTCTGTGCCGCAGCGCAGCGCAACAGCTGTCAATTCAGACCCGCGGACCAGCTGATCAAGAGGCAGACATAACCCTCCCTTATTTTAATCAACAATAAAATGCAGCAAAGCATATATGTGCAGTTATTCACTGAAGAAAACGTCACTTCTATGAGCTAAATAAAAATATTAAATTGAATAAATAGATCAGGAAAGCAGGAAGAATAGTTATTTCTGTTTTTACATTTTTCTTTTCGTTTCATGGCGTTTGTTTACAATTTTTCTTTCGGCAAAGGCAACTCTGCGCATGCTCAACCTATTTAATCGGATTAAATGCTTGGTGCGTATGTACGCACGGCATGATCGGATCATTTCAGTTCGTGTCCATGTGAACAGAGATTCGGAAATTCCGATCAACCAAGATTTCAATCGGATTGAGGAAATTTGCCACATGAAAAAAGTGATCATTTTTGTGTATCTAAACAGACCAGAGAGATGCAAATGAGCAAAGAAAGACACACACACACACACACTCACACACTCCAACGGAGAAACAGTGTTTCCATAAGTTTAAATGCAGTTTTCACAGCTAAATATCAATGCAAACAGTTACATTTAATTAAAAGGTAAACATACAATAGTATTGTACAAATACCACAAATACTAGGTTATTTACTTAACCATTTAGAAAGGAACTGGTCTACAAAACAGCAACAGGATCAGCGCAGTTCCTGATATCAACAAGCAGGGCAGACTGGTCACACACACACACACACACACACACACACACACACACACACACACACACACACACAGCAAGGGCACAGGGGTGGGGGTGGCGGGGGGTTGGAAAACAGTAGGAGTGAGCAGAAGCACTCATCGAAAATTTTAACCTGATGTGAACGGAGGAGCAGCGCTCAAATTCTGTGAGCGATCCATGGACTTTGCGGCGCTTTGCAGCTGATGTGAACCTGGTGGCTGATTGGTCTCTCTAAGTTATCCTTAGGTGTGAGAGTGTGCGTGCATGGTTGTTTTCCCTGTGTGTCTCTGTGATGCTCTGCAATGGACTGGCATCCTGTCCAGGGTGTTCTCAGCCTGTTTGGCCAAAGCTGGAGATTGGCACCAGCATCGCGACCCTGCATGGACAAGTGGGTGTAGAAAATAAATGGATGGCTTGATAAAGGAAAAGTCAGAATATGTCCCTTTTAACTGAGTATCCAATCCAGTAGCTAAGCAGGACAACAGCTGAAATTAACTTCATACTTTATATTCATAGCTTTTCATTGATTAGGATTTCATATTTTGATTTTCTGCACAGATAAATCCATAAAACTAGGGACAATGACAAACTTCACAAACATCCCACAGCATTTGGATGAGATCACGAAGGCACAGGGAGAATGGAAACTCAAGGCAACTCACCATTTTGAATATACTGTAGTTGCTGATGGCATACCCCAAAGCAAACTTGTGTACATGGTAAGAGACCATTTGTGAGCAAACCTCAGTCAAATGTTTCTGTGTCCAAATATTCACAGCGTTGTTATGCGTCTGACAGGTCACCCTGCAGAGGAAGCCATTTCTTTATGTGATTAATTTAATCTTACCACTGCTGTTTTTACTGGTGCTGGATCTGGGCTCGTTCTTCATCACCGAGGGCAAAGGTGAAAAGCTGGGGTTCAAAGTGACCATCCTTCTGTCCATTTTTGTTTTATTGCTGATTCTTAAAGACATCTTACCGTCTACTGAAGAAAACCTGCCGATGATTGGTAAGCAGCACCACAGGCAGTGGTTTTACTGGCTTCGTTGTCATCACACTGACCAGTAACACATCTCATCCTTTTCAGCCATCTACTGTGTTGCGATTTTCACCCTGGTGTGGATCAGTGTCCTGGAGACCATGCTGGTCAGCTTTCTGATGAGCCTTGGTGGTCCTTATGAAGAGAGGGCTCGAAGCTCAGGACTCAGAGTTAATATTCTGCTGGTAGCAGATGATGATCACAAAGGTTTATTCTCTGTTCTCTAGCTGTGTCTCGTTTTGTAGTAGTCTATGCAGATTCTGGCCAGTAAAATTTTGCTGCACCCCACTGGTCATCATTTCCTCCCTGTTTTTCTACACAGAACCTGCTGGAGTTGGAGATAAAGTTCCACCAGAGAAGGTTTTATCTCCTGTGGACCCACCTGGTGACAGCGACATGCTGAAACTGATCTTGGACAAAGTGAAGTCGGTTCAACTGGAATCTAAGAGAAAGAACAAAGTCAAGAGATGGTCTGGAGGCTGCAGAAGGCTGGCTAAAATCTTTGACTGTGTCTTTACTTCGGTGTATTTTCTTACTACCGCAGCTTTTCAGATTTGGATTTTTTCCAATTGGAATAAGCCACGATTTTAGACCCATGGCAATATTTACTGCATGATTGTTCTGCTAGAAAAAGACTGAAATAGCTTTAAACAAGACATTGTGCTCATTTACATCACAAAATGCTTGAAATGAAGGGTAACCTCTACAACCAATCATGATTCTGCATTTCTGCTTTTTAACTGTCAACCTTCTAAAATGCATCTTCAATATCAAACAGTTTCTATCAAATCTGACAACAAAAAGGAAAGTTTAGTCCTCTCCTAAATAGTTTAATCATGTGATGCCTCAAGAAACCTTCACTCAAAGGTATCTTTTTTAAACCCCTTTAGACAAAGCTTTATCTTCTCTCAACTTACGTGAATCATCCCCTACCAGCAAGATGCATTCAAAAATGCTACATCTGAATGTCGAGAATGTCAAAGATATATCTAAAATGTTCAACAATGACATGTTAAATATATTCTGTGTTCTTAATAAAATATCTGATTCTGAGTAAAGGTGAGAAATAAAGACATTCTACTCAATACCTTCTAATGTTTCTAGTGTGCGGAAAACGTGGCTGAACTTTTTACAGAAACTCAAGTTTCTATTGAATTGGGAATGCAAATCTCAAAAGAACGCTTTTAAGTGTGTTCAACCATTGGATTTAAGTGTGTCAGCTAATTGTCAAGGCAAACTTTAGTTCTTGTGCGAGTGGCTGATTTCAGCCTGTGAGGATGTAAATCAGGCTCTGTAACATCCAAAGGTCAAGTCATCAAAATTGACCAGAAATTATCTTTTAATTTCCACACACAAACTGCGTCACACATCCAGGGACACGTTACATCTGTCTGGCCTCCAGACTAAATAAGTTAGCCATAATAAGCGCTTTTCCTGAATTCCATTATCTCTGCGGGAAAACAAGGCCCATGCAGAAGATGAGACTTTCTGCATTTTCACTCTGAATAAAGTTCATCTTCCTTGAATCATAAAGGGCCTTCAAATGTGTTGAATGAATATTGAAAGTGGTTTAATAATGTGTGTCACAACGTGCCGGTGAGTGAAGCGGAGGCAAGGATCCACATGCAGGTGAGGAAGGCAGGCAGACAAACTAGAACAAGTAAATGTCTTTAATGTTTAAACACATGCTGGACACTGAAACAATGAACCGATAAGAGACACAGAACTGAAGGGGTTTAAATACATGAGGGCTGGGAGCTTGGGTGATTGGAAAACGAGAGGCAGGTGGGAGCAATTAACAGAGATGCATGCCAGAACAGAATGGGGAGACAAGACAGGATGTGACAGTACCCCCCCCCATCAAAGGGCGGATCCCAGACACCCACAGGAACACAGAGCAGGGCTGGAGGAGGGGGACCAGGAAGGAGGGCCAAGAGGAACCGAGGGACCGGTGGAGAGGAGGCAGGGACCAGTAGAGTCAGGGGACCTGCGTCTGGGGCAGAGGAGGAGAGAACGACGGGCTCCCGGGGGCCTGCGTCTTGGGCAGAGGAGGAGGCAACGACGAGCTCCCGGGGGCCTGCGTCTTGGGCAGAGGAGGAGACGACGACGGGCTCTTGGGGGCCTGCGTCTTGGGCAGAGGAGGAGACGACGACAGGCTCTTGGGGGCCTGCGTCTGGGGCAGAGGAGAAGACAACGGTCTCTTGGGGGCCTGCGTCTGGGGCAGAGGAGGAGACGAAAACGGGCTCTGGGAGGCTCGCGCCTGGCGAGGTCAGGACCGGCGGTGACCGGAGGCAGAGATGCTGGAGGAGACATCTTCGACCTCTGGACAGGAGACGGCGGCGGCGGCTTCTAGACTGGAGGCGGTGGCTTCTAGACTGGAGGCGGTGGCTTCTGGACTGGAGGCGGTGGCTTCTAGACTGGAGGCGGTGGCTTCTAGACTGGAGGCGGTGGCTTCTAGACTGGAGGCGGCGGCTTCTAGACTGGAGGCGGAGACGTCAGCCTGTGGACTGGTGGGGGAGACGTCAGCCTGTGGACTGGTGGGGGAGACGTCAGCCTCTGGACTGGTGGGGGAGACGTCAGCCTCTGGACTGGAGGAGGAACCGTTGGACTGGAGGGGACGTCGACCTCTGGACTGGAGGGGACGTCGACCTCTGGACTGGAGGGGACGTCGACCTCTGGACTGGAGGGGACGTCGACCTCTGGACTGGAGGGGACGTCGACTCCAGGGCCGGAGGCGGCGTCGACTCCAGGGCCGGAGGCGGCGTCGACTCCAGGGCCGGAGGCGGCGTCGACTCCAGGGCCGGAGGCGGCGTCGACTCCAGGGCCGGAGGCGGCGTCGACTCCAGGGCCGGAGGCGGCGTCGACTCCAGGGCCGGAGGCGGCGTCGACTCCAGGGCCGGAGGCGGCGTCGACTTCAGGGCCGGAGGCGGCGTCGACTTCAGGGCCGGAGGCGATGTCAACTTCAGGGCCGGAGGCGATGTCGACTTCAGGGCTGGAGGCGTCAACCTCTGGGCTGGAGGCGTCGACTTTCGTCGACTTCTGGTCCAGAGGCGTCAACTTCTGGTCCAGAGGTGTCGACTTCTGGTCCGGAGGCGTCGACTTCTGGTCCGGAGGCGTCGACTTTTGGTCTGCCGACTTCTGGACTGCCGACTTCTGGACCATCGACTTCTGGAGTGGAGGAGGAGCAGCTGCAGACAGGACCGCTTCCTTGGCTGGAGCCGCCGGACTGGGCTCTGACATCTGGAAGGCCGGCCCAGGGGAAGAGCCAAGAGCCTCTTGGGTCACCACTGGAACTGGAGCTGACTGAACTGGTGGCGCCGGTAACTGGGAAAGCAGGGAGGATAGATTGTCCAGCTGGAACTCCTGGAGGCTGACGAGTTGACGGATCCGGCCAAGCTCCGCTTGGAGGACGGCGAGCTCCGTCTGATGGGCTGTAGGCGTGGTCCCTCCGCCTGCAGATGACGGAGGTGCTGACTGGACCGGAGACGGGACCGCTGATCTGACTGGAGGCGGGTCCAAGCTGGCGCGCCGAGCCGGGGCAGCGGCGAGCTCGCGGCTCCGTCCTGGGACAAGGGGTGACAGTGGAGCCCGGCATTCTTCCCAACACCGTGGGCCAACTCCGGGGGAGCACACAGCCAGTCTGGTGCCCACTTAGCAGGAGCGGTCTAGCTGCATCTCCCGGCCCAACCTCTCATCTGGCTCCGGGAGGGTGGAGGGGATTGTCGCGGCTGGGGTTCGGCGACGGCGTCTGCGGCGAAGCAACGTCGGAGGAGGAGAAGCTGGTCTGTGGTTAGAGGTAAGGAATGTCACGGCCTGAGGTATATTGTTCTCCAGACTAACCTCTTCCCTGCAGGTGGGCAGTGTCGGAAAGCTGCCCGGCTGCAGCCATTCAGCTGCAATCACCGGCTGGTATAAAAGGAGCAGTCTGAGACCTATACGACGTCGGATGATTAACTCGTTAGGGTACACAACCAAATCTCGAGCTCTCGTTGTAATTTTTGTACTTCTAGTCATCGCTAACTTTCCTCAGCAGATATTCACGCTCACCACCTCTCCAGCCATAACCTGAGGATTTTTACCTACCTCGTCTCATTCTGCTCTGCCGGCTGGCTCTCCCACTCGCTATCACCCCCCGCCTGCCTCGCTCGACGTCTTGGGAAATATCTCCATTACTCGCCTTCAAGGTCTGTACCCTGCTTCAGCTCCCCTCCACCTCAGGCCTGACCCACTCCCTCCTCAGCATCTACAGATCTCCGCTCTAAAGTAAGATTGTTTCAATTTGCATCAATTCCTCTCCCATTACCTGCTCCTCATCTCCCTGATCTTTTTCTCCCGTCAGATTCTGCCCTTTAACGTCAGAGCTTCCTCGAGAGTGACTCTCCGTTCTCATCATTGTTTAATAAAAAATTTTTTCTTACCTTCATCTCCGGCTCTGATTCTGCATGTGGGTTAGAAAACTAAACTCCGACATGACAGAATCATCCGACCAATCAACTAACTTCGCAGAATCCGTGTCATCTCGTATCTCCGAAACTCTCCACCAACATGACTCCACACTCCGGACTTTACTTGAACAGTTGTCCCTTACTAATCAGCGTCTTCTCAATGTAGATACGGCAGTCTGCCATCTCCATGAGCAGCTTTCCGCTCCACTACCTCCGGTTCCTAATCCCGTGTCTCCGGTTCCTGCCTCGTCACCACTTCCTGCTCCCGTACTGTTCCAGGTAGCCGAAGCCACGCCCTAGATGACGTACGAGGGAGACCCAAGTCAATGTTTAGGTTTTCTCCTACAATGTAATTTGGCTTTTGGACATAAGCCCACCTCTTTCTCTTCAGATCCGGCAAAAATTTCTTTTATCATCGGGTTACTTAGGGGTCGAGCCTTACAGTGGGCAGAGGCAAAAAGCCGGAACCCAAGTTTCTTACAAGGGCCTTTTGAAGAGTTTATTAAGGATTTTAAATTAACTTTTGGGGCTTTAGAGCAGCGTTCTGACGTTTCCAGGCAATTCTGGCACCTCTCTCAAGGACGGCAGTCTTGTTCCTGAATTTGCATTACGTTTTCGTACCATCGCCGCTGCTTCTACTTGGAATGAAGATTCTTTAATGGGAGCCTTTCAGGAAGCTCTGAATGATAGAGTCAAAGATCAGTTGGCCTTCTGTCCTGAGTCCCGTAACCTTGAGGAATTAATAGCCCGGGCCACACGCATCAATCAACGCCTGAGAGACAGGTTCAGGAGTTCTAACACAAATCCTCAGTCTCCATCACCTACCTCATCTCGAGCACCACTCGCACGTTTTCCTCCCATGGATCCGGATGAACCTATGCAGATTGGCAGAACCCGGCTCAGCCTGGAGGAGAGAAACCGACACATGTCCTCCAAACTCTGCGTTTATTGTGGCCAGCCCGGTCACTTCGTCTCCCAATGTCCTGATCAGCCAAAAGGGAGCACCCATCAGTAGAACTGGGATTACAGGTGGGTGCAAGTGCATATGGTTTATCCCTGTGTTTACTTTCTTGTATCATCTCCTTCTCACCTTCCTTTTCCTTCCTTTTCCTGAGTGAAGCGGAGGCAAGGATCCACATGCGGGTGAGGAAGGCAGGCAGACAAACTAGAACAAGAAAATGTCTTTAATGTTTAAAGACACGCTGGACACTGAAACAATGAACAGACTAGAGACACATAACTGAAGGGGTTTAAATACATGAGGGCTGGGAACTTGGGTGATTGGAAAACGAGAGACAGGTGGGAGCAATTAACAGAGACACATGACAGAACAGAAGAGACAAGACAGGGTGTGACAGTGTGCATCAATCAATGATGTGATAAAATGAATATTTTTCCTGCAATGATTCATTTCAGATCTTAAATGACACCAGATTAGTATTTGTTGATTTAACAATTTTATTTTAATCTCAGAATATTCACACCTCGTAATGATTGTTGAATTAAAGAGACAATGTGTAGTTTTTACCCTCAATTTCTGAAAATATCCATCAAAATGTTGTTGAAAATGAATTGAATGATGCCCAGTTGTTGAAAAATATTGGCAGCTTTGTAACATACAACCATAAAAATCATGTCCA